TTATTTATTATAAACATTTTATTTTTATCAATTTGGAACTAAATTTCCTTCCCTCCGATAATATTTTTCAAATTTGCATAACGATCTTCAAGCCAATAAAATTTAATTTTTGCGTGATATCTGGAGGGGAGATTGTCACATAATTTAGCCAATGAAATCAAATGTCCACTATGCTCGTTGTCGATCGATCAAATAATAAGCTTTTTTCTTTTTTTATTTTCAAAAAATAAAATGTCAAATAAGTTACAAGAAAAAAGAAGAAATCGCGATGGGTACATTGAGAAAGAAAAAGAGTAAGTGTTGTTTATCGTAAGAATGGTGGTTATCGCCACCACTCATCGTCACTCTAGTTTAAAAAATAAATAAATCTCTATTTAAAATATTTTTTATCAAATTTATTCCGTTTTATCTATTATCTATTATCTATTATCTATCTATATATATTTATATTGTATCTACATCTATTATACATATATAAATTATTATCACATAATTTTTTTTAAATCAAAAAACAAAAATGGACATTAATAAAAAAGAAAAAAAACTACGAATAAAAAAGATAAAAGAAAGTGTTATTATTAGTTAAAAAAAATGGTGGTTGTCACCACTTGTTGTCACTCTAGTTCACAGAGATTAACATAGACATTTTGTTTCTTAGTCAAAATGAATTAACATCATCATCACCATCAGCAGGCAATACTGGTATACAAATTTAGAACATTTTATTTATATATTCATAACATTGGTCTTCCTGTCATTACTATTATTATAATGATTACAAAATATGATGATAATGTAATACCAAATACTTCGTAAAATTAGAAACTGATCCAAATGATTATATTATAGATTTTGATAATATTTTAGATGAAGAACCAAAATTTGGATCACATTTCAATCATGTTTGTATTTTAATTAATTACTTCAAAAATGAAGAAACTATTAATTAATTCTTTTTTTTTATATAGAAATTGAAAAATATTCATGAAGATTTAATAGAAATTTATAGAAATGCAAATTATTGGTAATTTTTATAACCAGATGTGTATATAAAATTATTGATGTTAATGCAAAAGATTACATTAATTTTATATTTTTTATACAGTGATGTTATAAAAATGGGTGTGATAAACTTGGATGACGAAAGGAAAAACAAATC